TTCTCCTTCTCCTTCTCCTTCTCCTTCTCCTTCTCCTTCTCCTTCTCCTTCTCCTTCTCCTTCTCCTTCTCCTTCTCCTTCTCCTTCTCCTTCTCACCAAGTCCCCCTCTGGGCAGCCCCACCCTCAGAGCCTACAAACCAGTGAAGGAACAAAATACAGACAAAAGCTTATAAGAAGCAAAACACACCCGAGCCCGCCCCTGTCGCTTGCCTGAGACACACACAGGAAGGAAGTGGCCGGGTGATTCAAGCACGGAGAACTGCGATGTCTCAAGCAGGGAATATTTTCTGACAAGCTCTTCCTGACTGTGGTTTTGAACGAGATTTCGAGATTTCGGTGGACATCAGCCCGGCCCCCCACGGCGTCCCCCCCCACCAGCGCAGCCCGCCACGCACGGTGCCTGCTGTCTAGACACAGACACGGCGGTCGGGGTGGACGCCCGACCAGGAAGGCGCCCAGCGGGCTGCTGCTGCTCCCCAGGCCTGGGACCCGGGAGGCTGAGCAAAGACGGCCGCTGGTCAGTGTGGCGGGAGCTGTGGTCAGAGCCGCAGGAGTGGGCGGCTGCCCGGTCTTCAGGGCTGAGGGGAAGGGACCTCCAGGAAGCCAGCTTCTCACTGTGTGCCCCAGGCCACTGACTCACCAGCAAACCTGTTTTTGATTCTGCTCAGAGCCAGCGTGGAGCCCTGGCAGGTCCAGCCCTGTGGAACCAGAGCAGCTCCAAGCAGGACACTCCCTAAGAGAAGTCCCTTCCACACCCCTGCGACTGCAGGCTCGGCCGCAGGACCCGATTCTGAGCCAGTCCACCCCGCCCTCCTGGGCCTGCAGCCGCCCCTGCTCTGATCCCCTGTTCCACAGGGGGCAGGCACCCTGCTTTACACCTCCCTTGGCTGTCCTTCCTCCTGGCCTCTGTCCAAGTCCTGCCTGTCCCCAGGGCCCACCTCATGGCCACCACCTGCGTGCAAATTCCCGGACTCTCCTGCTGGGAAGTCCCTCTTCCTTGCTGTCACCGACCTGGCAGCTCACCATGTCGGCAGCTACATGCCCCACTATGTGAGCATGTGTGAGTCTTTCAGCTCCCTCAGCCCCGTTTCCCATCCGTAGAATGGGCACAATGAGAGTGGCCAGCTGAGAGGAGGCCATGCAGGGCGAGCAGCGTGGCACCGAAGAGCAGCTCCCTACCGTGGTGAGGGGGAGGGAGAGTCTGTGTTCTCTTCCAGGTGGCAACCTCGCTGCAGAAGGACTCGTGCAGCCCCCCACAGGAGGTCAGGCACCCTAGCTGGCAACCTTCAGAGGGACAGAGCCAAGGACAGTGTCCACAGTGGCCAAGGAGCTGGCCCCGGGACGGCTGTAAAGCCCTTTTGCCTGGGCTGTTTCTGCCCCCGGGAGGGAGAAGAGGTGGGAGAGGGGAGGGATGCAAAGCTGAAAGCCGCTCCCATCCTGTTCCAAGGCCCCAGAGAGGGAGAGAGAGGGGGCAACACATGGGGATCCGGCACTGTGCTCAAGCTGAGGGAGCCCCCCGGGCACACATGTCTTGGCCCAGGCCGCCTGGCAGGTGGCCAGGCTGCTTCTGTGGTCTAAGCGGACAGTCCATGCAGACCCTTCTGGCCAGGGGCGGCCTGGGTAGAGCATGGCTGGGCCTGTCCTGTGTCTTGTGGAGACACTGAGCCTAAAGGAGCCTGGTGTCACAGGCAGAGGCTGGGAGCTCTGGCTGGTGCACGGAGAAGCCAGCCACTTCCTGAGGGTCCGAAGGCCAGCATGGCGGGGAGGGCTGGGCAGCCTAGCATGTCCACTTGCGCATCCCGCTGCAGCTGGTGGTGTGGCTGCCCAGGTCACTTAGAGTTTCCGGGTAGAGGTGCTTGTTCCTCAGTTGAAACACATGCATTGTTCTGTAGGTTTCAGGACCGAGGCTTCTTGAGTGTCTCTAGCTTTTCCCAAACAAAACAGGTGTTCTGAGGCCCATTTTAAAGAAAGAGGCCTGAAGACCAAGGGGCTGAAGATGCCAGGGTCAGGCAGACCAGAAGCCCGGATGTGGGCAGACCTGCCTGGCATAGGGCACCTTCAGAACCAGTGTTACCATGGCGACCTCAGGGGGCGAACCCAGCAGACCCTGCTTCTGCGGCAGTCGGAAGCCCGGATCTGAGCACCCTAACAGACGTGTGCAGCTGCCAGGGGCCAAAACCGGGCTGTGGTGTGCTGGGGCCTTCCCAGCCCTCCGTGCTGCCGGCATCACAAAGGGTCCTCTAGTCCACTCGCTCTCCACCCTCAAAGGACTTCCAAGACCCCAGCCTGCCTCTCTACCTGTGCCCGAAGCCTCTCTCCTCTCCTGAGAAGAGGTAGAAGAGCCCACCCTCACCCGTGTCCCTGAACCTGCTCAGGGACGTCCCTCACTGGTTCTCGTCCTCTCTCCTGCGCCATCAGTTTATCATTTCTACCAGAGCACCCCATCCTTGCTCCTGTATTTAACCAACCCTCTCTGTTTTCCTTTTCCACGGAGATGGAGAAGAAGCAGGGACCAAATTTACCCTCCAGTCTGGAGCAAGCAACACATGCCACCGTGATAAGAGGATGGGTGGGATGACCCTGGAAGATGGGAAGAGGATGGAGCGAGCTGTGAGGGCCCAGCTCCCTGCCCCGAGAGCGCTACAGACTGCAGCACGGGTGGGGTTTCCTGGAGGAGCACAGTGCACTACATGGGAGTGGAGGAAACAAAGCTGAAAGTCCAGGGAGGCCAAGGTGGCCAGAGTTTCCAGGACACAGCTGGCAACAGACAGCCCTGGGGACCTGCAGAGAGGCGCTGAGCATTCAGCGCAGCCTGTGAACAAAGATCCACCCAGGGAAGTAAGAGCTGGGCTCCCATCTGCCAGACTTACTGGGTACTGGGCAGAGTACTCAGTGGGGAAGGCTTGGACTTAGTCCTGTTCAGCACACTGCTCCAAACTTGCCTAACAAATCATGACAGCGAGACTCGCCAAGATCAAATGGTGTCAATGTAGCTTCACTGCATCTTAGAAAAAGAGCTCGACAGTCTTTCTCCAGCATCCTACATGGTGCCATGCACAATGCCCAGCATCCGACAAGAAGGAGCAGGGGCATGAAGCCTCAGGAAAACTCACTGCTGATGAGGGAGCGTCGGCTCAGACCCAGCTGGCAGGCACACAGGGCTTCATGCCGGGCAGAGCTCTTTCTGGCTGTGAAGCGGAGAGAGAAGACAGGTGGTAAGGAAGGGCCTCCCTCCCGCTCTGCGAGCCGAGCTCTTATTGAGCTCCCGGTGATGAGAAGGTGGTGTGCCAGCCAAGGAAAATGTCACCAAATACACAAAGGAACCAGAAGAAGGGAATCTCGCCTCTACTTCCCCTCCCAGCAAACTTCCTTTGTCAACAAAACTGCAAAAAGGGGTTTTTTTATCCCTGCTCTATCTCTTTCCCTTTCCTAGTCTTCCTCTTAATTGTCAAATGTGATGTACATTCATGTTTTAAATAGTGTGCAACAATCATTTTAGCAAGACATTATAATGCAAATACCTGCGTAGCCACCGGTAGGCCTTACCCATACCTTGTCCCTCCTGATCCCGTCTGTGAATCCCTGCCACCTGGTGTCCCCCATCAGCATCTCTTCAGTGGCTTTGCAGTTTTCCATGCAGCAAGTGTCGTCATACCGTAAGGGCATAGCTGCAGGTTTGCACAATGCATAGAAATGGAATCATGCATGGGACGCATAGTTTTAGACCTGGCTTCTTTCACCATTATGCCTGTAAGGTCTGACCATGTCCTGTAGGCATCTGTCATTCATTTCTGTTGCAGTGTAAAATCTGTGATATGAATGTACACTTTCCAGTTCATTCTACTATTGACAGACATTTCTGCTATTTCCATTCCTGGGGTCGCCTTAGTTGGGGCTGGTATCATAAACCAACAGGCCCCAGGACTTGCATCACTGTGGCTTACTCTTCGCAGCCCTGGAGGTGGGCAGTCGGAGACCAGGATGCAGCTGTGGGAGGTGGTGGAAACCCCTGGAGGCAGCCCCTGCTGGGAGGCCTTCCAGTCCCTGGGAAAGTGGGACCCAACCCCTTCTCTGTTTCTTTTGTTCCCAGCCAAGGGGAGGCAAATGAAGTTCCTCTACGACACACACTTGCCCTGTTTCGCTACCTCACCGCAAGCCCCCAGGTGCTGGGGCCAACCATCCATGGACTGAACCATGCAGAACAGTAAGCCAGAACAGACCCTTCCCCTTCATCAGTCGATTAGCTCAGGTATTTGTACAGTAACAGAAAACGGACCGACACAAACATATTGCTGGGAATATATGTGCATTCAGCCACCACACACACAAACACATGCACACGAGAAGATACGTACCTTCTAGTGGAACTGGAGGCTCCCGTGTGCTTATCTTCAGCCTCAATAGCCACTGCTACACCACTCTCCACAGTGGTTATGCACCAGCAGTGCCAGGACTCTCTGTTACTTCGAAGGCTTACCAGTCCTTGGTATCATCAGCTTTTGATATATGGTGCTATCTGGTTGTGGTTTAGATATATAAGGACCATTTTCATGTTTATCGGCCACATGGTTTATCTTCTCTTATTTATTTATGTATTTTTAAATTAAGTTTATTGGTACATTTTAGGTGTGCCTTAGCCCTTCAAACATCTTGCTCCTTGTTATGATTTTATTGTTTCCCCAAAAGCATGTGTTAGAAACTGAAGGCCCAGTGAGGCAGTGTGCAGCAGTAGGGCACAGTGAGGGGTCGTTAGGCAGTGGGAGTAGGATGAATGCTCTTATCCTAAGATGAGAAGGTTCATTATAAAAGGAGGAATTCAGCTCCCTCTTGTACCCTCTTTGTCCTTCCAGCGTGTGATGTCTTCTGCCAACAACACAGCATGAAGCCTCTCTCCAGACACCAGCACCTTGAACTTGGACTTATAGCCTCTAGAGCAGCGGTGGTGAACCTATGGCACGCGGGCCACAGTGGGCTGTTGGAAGCACTGAAAGCTTTAAAAAGTTCGCCATCACTGCACTACAGTGAGCTTCTTAAATTCCACACAGAAAAAGAAAATGCTGAGATTGTGATTCAAGTTACATTAAATCTACTGATCAAATTATATATATATTCTATTGTAAATAAAATTTTTTCTTTATTCTTTATTATTTTTAATCATTCATTGTTAGGGTGTAGATATGTAAGTCAATTATTGTGGGTTAATATTTTTTTCCTGCACCTTTGCTATAAGTTTTTATTAGTTCTAGTGGGTTTTTTGTGTAATCTTTAGGATTTTCTACATATAGAGTCATTTCACCTGCAGAGATACCTAACTTCTTTTCTAATTTGAATGCCTTTTATTTTTTTTTTCTTTCCTGATTGCTATGGCTGGAACTTCCAGTTCTGTGTTCAACAGCAGAGGTGAGAATGGAGATTCTTTCTTTGCTCCTGATCTTAGAGGGAAAGCTTTCAGCTTTTCACCATTGAGCATACTTTTTTGTAGTCTAGTTTAAATAATTTTGTTGGTTTAAAAAAAACAGCTCTTAACTTTGTTGGCTTTTTCTGATTGTTTTTCTCTTTGGTATTTTATTTATTTCTTCTCTAACTTTTATTATTTTATTCCTCCTGCTCACTTTCATTTTAGTTTATGCTAGCTTTTTTCTGATATAAGATTAGGTTGTTGATTGAAAACTTTCTTATCTTTTAATGTAGGTGTTTACTGTCATAAACTTTTCTCTTAGTAGTGCTTTTTTGTGTTTTTTGTTTGTTTTCATTTGTTTAAAGATATGTCCTTCAGCACCACAGTGCCTGCCTGGCAAGCACGAAGCCCTAAGTTCTATTCCTGGTACCAAAAAAACCCACCAAGTAATAAAAATATGTCCTTTTTCACAGGTGATTTCTTCATAGATCCATTGGCTGTTCGGGAATGTGTTGTTTAATTTCCACATACTTATGATTTTCTGGGTTTCCTTTGGGTATTGATTTCTAGTTTCTTTCTATTGTGGTCAGAAAAGATACTTGGTATGATTTCAATCGTACATTTTTTACGATTTGTTTCATGGGTTGACATATGCTCTCTCTGGGAAAAAGTTCCATGTGCAATTTAGAAGAATTTCTATTCTGCTGATGTTGAGTATTATGTTCTGTATGTCTTTTAGGTTCCATCAATCGTTCAAATGTTCAGTTTCCTTATTGATCTTCCATCTGGTTGTTCTATGCATTACTGAAATTGGAATGTTAATATCTTTTTTATTGTGTTACTGATATTTTCTCCATTCAATTCTTTCAATATTTGCTTCATATATTTGAATGTCATGCTGTTAAGTGCATATACATTAAAATTTTTATGTATTCCTGGTGAACTGGATATTTTGTCATCATATGTCCTTTGTCACAGTTTTTGACTTAACAATATTTTGTGTGATAAAAGTGCGTCTTAATTACTTTCTCGTTTCTGAGACACAATACCTGACACCCACAACTTAAAAGGAAGAAAGTTTTATTTTGGCTCATTTTTCAGCCCACAGTCAGCTGGCTCCAAGGCAGGAAGGCATGGTGGAAAGCTCTGGTAGAGGGGGTGTTCGTGTCATGGTGTCCAGGAAGCAGAGTGGAGGGAGGGGCTAGGGCAGGAGATGCACTTTTCCAGGTCATACCTCCAAGTGACCCTCCTCTTCCCACCAGACCCCACCCAACAGCAAGTCGGCCGAATTCCCCCATAATTCAATCACCTTCCAGAAGCCCTACCTGTGAGTACATGAGGCTTTGCGGGAGGTTCTTGCTCTAACAAATAATAAAGTGTGACCACCCTCGCTCCTTTGGTTACCATTTGCATGGAAGATCTTTTTTTCTATCCTTTCATTTTTAACTTATGTGTGTTCTTATATCTAAACTCAGTAAATCATGGGGTTTTAAAAATCCATTCAGCCACTCTTTTGATTTACATATAAAATAATTACTAACCAAGAAAGACTATTACTGTTATGTTGTGAATTATTTTCTGTATCTTGTAGCTATTTTGTTTCTGTCCCTCTCAATACCTTCTTTTATGCTTTATTAATTTTTATAGTAATATACTTTGATTCTATTCATATTTTTGTGTATCCTATACAGGTACTTTCTTTATGATTACCATAGACATTAAATAAAACATCTTATGATTATAACAATCTATTTCAAACTAATAAAAACTTAACTTCAACTGCATGCAAACTCTTTTCTTTTATGGTCCCTCACTTTATTTTATTGGTGTCACAAATTACATCTTTTTATGTCTTGTAAAATTCTATGGCAGAAGTAAAGATGATTTAAATACCATCATTACAGTATTACAGGACTCTGTATTTTTCTATATCTTTACTAGAAAGCTTCATACTTTTTGTATGCTTTTGTGTTACTGTCTAGCATCTCCTTTTAGTATTTTTTGGTAAGGCAGGTTTAGTAGTGATGCTAGATCTCAGCTTTTTTTTTTTTTTTAATTCAAGAAAGTCTTTATCCTCCATTTTTGAAGGACAGTTTTGTTGGATATGGTATTTTTCATTAGCAGATTTATTTTTTACTTTCAACACTTTGAATATCGTATCCTAATCCCTTCTGTCATATAATATTTCTATTTTGAAATAAGCTGATAATCTTATTAAGGCTCCCTGGTACACAACAAATTGCTTTTGTTCTTTGTTTTTGACTTTAGGCGTTGCTTCTAATGCATCTTGGTGTAGCCCTTCTGGCTTTACTCTACTTGTAATCCTCTCAGCTTCTTGAATGTGGGCATGCACTTCCTCTTCTAAGCTTTGGGAAGGTTAGCCATTATTGCTTAAGGTAGGTGTTCTGGTCCTTTCTTTTCTCCTCTCCTTCTAAGACTTCCATAACGTGTGTTTTTTTGCTTATTGGTTTCCCTTAAATTCCTTACATTTTCTTCACTGTTCTTTATTCCCTTTGTTCCTTGGACACAATAACTTCAAATAACCATCTTCACCTTCACTGATTCTTTCTTCGGCTCCATCAGGTTTGCGACTGAACCCTTATAGTGAATTTTACAGTTCAATTGTATTCTTCATTTCTAGAAATTCCATTTAGTTCTTTTTATAGTTTCTTTTTGACAATATTTTCATTTTGTCCATGCATAATTTTCTTGATTTTTGTCACTTGTTTTTCTATTTTCTCTTGTAGTGCACTGAACTTCTTTAATTCTTTTTTAATTCTTTTCTGGAGATTTATTTTGTTCCTTTGATTGTGCTATGTTTCCCTGTTTATTCATGTCTTGCTATCCCCTCCCCCACCCTCCTGGGATTTGTACATTTGAAAATCAGCCACATCTCCAGTCTTCATGGGCATACCCCATCCAGCATAAGGTCTTCACCATAGCCCACCTGAAGTTTAGCGCATCTTTTCTGGCAATGCATCTTCTCTAGGGTTGTTCTCATTTCCCAAGGAGAGATTTTCCAACTTGTCTTCAGAGTATGAGCAATACCTTTCTCCATCTGCTGTATATCATCAGCAAAGCAGATTCTCTGGCATTGCAACAAGCCCTGAGCTCTTATTTATTCTTAAGAGCCCTCTGATCTGCTAGAAGTCTGGTGAGACAGACAGCTGTCTTTCTAGCAGTCTCCCCAAAGCTGGAAAGCTGTCCACAGTTTCTGCTCTTCTCCTTTGCTCTGGTCATTTGTTCATTTTCTCTTAATTGCTCACAGAGAAAACTGTGCTGCTAGCTCACAGGAATGTCTGTCACATTTCACTATTTAAAATCAAACTCATTAAACATTTTAAAATTTTTATGCCTGTGGGGTTTTTATTCTATGTATGCAAGCACACGATCAATGTAATCATTACCTCATCTTGGGCCCAAGACTACATTTTCCTCACTATCTATGTTGACTAGAGTTCTTTAATAGATGTTCTTTATTAGCTTAAGCATAGTATCCTCTATGATTAATGTGATAAAGTGTTTTACAACAAAGAAATGTTCAGTTCTTTCAAATAATTATTCTTTTTTGTTTTTGGGGTTTTGAGACAGGATTTCACTATGCAGTTCAGGCTGGTCTTAAACTCACTAGGTAGCCCAGACTGGCTTCAAACTCATGAAGATCCTCCTGCCTCAGGTTCTGAAGTGTTGGGATTACAGGTACAAGCCCCATACCTGGCTTCAAATTATTATTCTGTGTCACTTAAAATAATTATATTATTTTCCTGTTAATTATAATAAATAATTGTTACATAATCTTATCTAATTTAATGTTAATATAATAAAATATTGTTTTCTAATGTTAATAATCCTTCATTCCATTACTAACTCAGGTTAGTAATGATTATGTTCCTTTACATATTTCTGAATTTTATTTGGGGTTTTTATATCTGTATTCATGGGTATAACTGACTTACAAAATATGCTTTTCTAATTACTTGTCATATTTAATATCAATGCTACTCTGCATCCACAAAATGACTTAGAAATATACCCTAAACAATATGTGCAAGATTGGCCTTTATTTTTTTCTTAAATGTTTAATAGAATGCTAAGAAAACTATTATAGCTTTGTGTTTCATAGAAAGATCTTTGCTGACTAAATTTATTCAGGATTAGTCCTTAGTAGGTATGTTTTAGCACTTACTTTGTTGCCAATCATTTCTTTGGCATCTAATGATATTGACCGATATTTCATGTGTTCATTGGCCATTTGATTATCTTTTCTGAGGAACTATTTATATCCTTTTCTCATTTTTAAATAAGGCTATTTCTCTTATTATTAAGTTGTTGTAAGCATTCTTTATATTCTAGATACCAGTTCTTCATCAAATACATCACTTTCAGGGCCAGGGATTTAGCTCAGTGGTTCCAGCATCTGCCTTGAAAGTGCAAGGTCCCAAGTTCAATACCCGGGATAAATAAATAAATAAATAATACACCATTTTCTTTCACGTCTCATATTAGAGAGCAAATATTTTCTCATCCTCTACCTCATCTTTTATTATCTCAGTGGTGTTCTCTGATGTGCTATAACTTTTAATTTTGTTAACACTCAATTTATCTGTTTTTTTCTTTTCTTGTCCATGCTTTTGGTGTCATATCTCAGAATCCTTTGCCCAGTAAGAGGTCTTGAAGTATTACTCAGATGTTTTCTCCTAGTAGCTTTACAGCTCTAGCTCTAGCAGGAGCAACCTGAGAGAGAACAGATGGGAAGTTACAACCTTTAGCCATAGGGAGGAAGGAAAAAAATCAAGTTGTTGATTAAGAGAACAAACCACTGTAGTCCTTAAAGATAAAAAGGTAAGATGTGTGGGCAAACTGGATGAGACCAACACAAGCAATGATTACTTGAGGAGAAACAAAAACTAAAAACCAAAACCAAACAAACAAAAAAATCCCCTAAATTTTAAGAGAGCTAAGATTTATTTAAATATATTTTTAAAAATTTTTTGAACCAAGTGTGGTGGTACATGCCTGTAATCCCAGCACTCTGGGAAGCTGAGCCAGGAGGACTGAAAAGTTCAGCCCAGCCGAGACAACTTAGTGACTTAGTGAAAACTTATATCAAAATAAAAATATAAAAAAAGAGCTGGGGAATTTAGTTTAGTATGGATGTCCAGGGTTCAATTCTAAATACTGTACTGAAAACTTTTTCTTTACAAATCATTTTACAACTCTGATTAAATTTTAAAAAACTATTATTTTAGGTTATTTTATCTAGGATGAGAGATGTGTATACATTTGAGGACTAAATATGCTGTGTAAATGTGCCAAGTTTGTAAAACTAAATATGCATAAGTTTGATTCATGCATAGTAACCAATAAGTTCTGTCTTTTATATGCATTGAATCTGGACCTTAAACATGTAAAACAGTCAGTAAAACTTTTGTCATTTTGCCATTTATATTCAGTACCATTGAGGTGGTGAAAAACCTGCCATTTGGACAGTCTTGCTGTTAAACAAAAAAGTTCTACATCTGTTGGTTTCAACCTAAATAAGCATTTTGTTACTGTATAAATGAGATACTCTTGTACATCAGGTAATAAATCTATTTGCAGTCATTAACTGTTTTCTAACTTGCAAGCTATCTAAAGCTATTCTTTGATTTTTGTCAGTAAATAAATTTTACAGCTCTGTTAAATGCAAAATCACACGTTTATAGCTATGTAACTGAGTCATGGATTCTAAATTTTGTCTGAAAAGTTAAAGCTAAGTTGATAAATAAAGGACTTCTATGTAGCTGTCGTGCTAGTCATTGCTGACTTCTTTGTATGTTAAAAGCATTTATGTTACCCAACCGTACAAGTCCAAAATGCAAGGCTTAGGAA